GGGTGACTCTGCAAGTGCTCCATGGAATTCATTGATGTTTTGTTGATGCTCGGCTCAGTCAAAACATGAAAGCCAGCAGCCATCGCTTCTCTACTTGATAAAAGGCTTGACCATCCCTACTGACATGTTACACAACTTAAACTTCTCGCCAGACTCACTAACATACTTGAAAGCACCCATGTTTGTAAAACTTGTACAGGACACATGACATCTGCAAATGCATTTGTATAGTGTACATGTGTCTGACCTGCTGGCACCTCATCCCTTGCACTTCAACCTCATCGTCATCCCCGAAACCCTCCAAAACGGCCCAACCCCGGACCAACCCGCGCTGATGCGTGAAGATCTGGGGTGACCAACACAGGGGCCAAAGATTTAGCGATCGCCTCCTTGGGCCTCCCCAAGGTCTTCTCCTGGACTCCGAGGCCGAAGAGAGCATGGGATGTGTATTAAGAACGGGAGACCTCCCAGTTCGATCTCCCTGGAAAAGGGAACATGTGCAAAGCACATTGGCTGGGGATCTCCGTATTGCAATACATCACCCTCATATTCTTTTCCAGGAGCAGTTCCGTTGTGCGAGAAAAACTTCGAAGCCAACGGAGGCCGGGCCGCGATTGGGCATGGTATGACGAAGCGGAATTCATTCGGGCACGCTGCTTGCTTCTTGTTCAACAGCTGTTTGTTGATGTTGGTTGGTCGTCTATGAGGGTTGTACTACGTCTTACTTATGTGCCCTCCTCTGCTTGTCATGGAGAAGCCGTATCAATGAGTCATACTGTAATGCCTCTTTTCTCTAAGCACGTAACATTCACATTGACCCAATGACCTCCAACTGGTTGGTCCGGGTTGATTATCTATCTTATATATCTTAGCTGCTATCTGAGATGACGGCAGCTCTGAAGAGCCCAGCTTTCGGCAAGGCTCCAATAAATGGTCCCTCGAGATAGCTGTAAACATAACATACCTGAAATATTTCCAGTACGGCGAACTAACAATCCACTTTGTACCTCGTAGCTTTCCTATTACCCCAACAAAATCCTACAACATGATAAATGGCATCCTTTTGATCCCAAATCAAACCAGCCAAAAGGTGCCCCCTGGTGGCATTGGTTTTCCTCCCCTTTTTGGGTCGCCGGCGGTCCTCTTCAAGTTCGCCTACCGTCTCCCACTCATGCAAAGCCTTCGGTTGTGACGGACCGCAAGGGACTCTGAGATCGGTCGCAAAGATCGGTTTGGGGGGGTTGATTTGCATTGACAAACCATGAGATGTTTCTTCTTCCCCATTTCGTGCAGACAAAACCAAGCGCGTTGGTGCCACCTAGCATGTGGTGAATTCGTCCCTGGCGTCCAGAAAGAAGAGATTGGGCTGATGAAATATGTCAAAGGACTTCTTACCATGAACTAGGGTATTGGCGCGCCGTCTGCAAAAGAGTCTTCCTGCTGCGGTCTGTGGGTCAGGTGGATACCTGTAAACATAACAAATCTTGGAGGGTGCAGGGTGCATGCGTGGGGATCGCCTGAAAATGGAGTTATGACCACCCCCAGCGGAAGACATTAGACCCATGGATCAGGGTCTCACTTTCACATCCGGTTTGTGTCCAGGGTGCTCCAGCTGGTCTAGAGGGGTGCAAACTGTTTGTTGCCCCTAGGATGAGGCAACATGATCGATTGTTTGAAGGGTGAACCCCCAGTTGAGAGTTGTCATGCGACATGAGGAAATGTAAAACTGAGAAAACATAACACAGAACACATTCAAGCCGGAGAACACCAACAAATTCAATGGGGGCTGCGGGGCACAATTGACCAAAGCACGTATCCTCATCTTCACCACATAGAAACGGCACATCAATGGAAAGGATGAACAGCTCAGCTCAAGGGTTGAACTTCAACAACTATAAGGCGCAACCAGAACAGAATACTAATTGAATAATTCTAATTCTTGCTCCTAATAGCTTCTTGTTACTCTAGTAGTAAGGCCAGGAGCCCCTAGTAGCGTCCTTGCTCCGTTCGTAGCGATGCCCTTTGCACCAGTTGTTTGGAACTTCAGTGTAAACCCAGAGACAACATCCAGTTTCCTAGCATTGACTGGGGCCCCTGGGCCCTCAACAAGATCGTCGGAGACAACGTGAATTCGCCGGCCTGAGTGGGGTATGAGGGGGTCTGGACGTGCTGAAGCACGGGGGAACAAGTTCGGAACAAGCATTTGAAATCAGGATCTCGCTCTGCTGAATCTTCCAAACTCTGAGGTGCCGTTAGTAAGCCTCATTGTTTAAACATAAGCAACTTATTCAAAGAGAAGGATTTAGAGCAGAAGGGAATAGGCGATCATCATGTCAAGCAAATGCAAGTGTCTCATTCAGCATGGACACCCAGCCCCAAGGAGAACCTCCAGTATAACGCGTTTTCTGATAGTCATGTCTCCCGATGACACAATTTAGGCAGTCACTCCACCCACTTGTCTATATCCTCTTCAACCCCAAACATCAGTACGCTTGACGCCACTTCCACTTATTCCGGTCAAAGGAAAAAACACATACAACTTAATAAATACTACCCAACCTCTTGGGCCAAGGGGTCTCACAATTCCAAATTAATCCAAAATGAACACCCATAGGCCCATGTGTGTGTATACATATGCATATACACATGAACTTGAGTGACCTGTGATTTGGACTACCAACCATCGAACATATGAACAAATATGTCCGTTACATGCCCTTTACTCACCAAACATGGGTCGGATTCGGGTTCTGCCGCAGCGGCGCTTCGATCCGTCGCGGTCGTGGCCGGGTGCCCCGACCAACGTCGAGAGGTCTGAAGTGACGAGTCGCTGGATCTGGCGGCTGCACCGGGGAGTATTGGCATTGCTAGGGGCACAAAGAAAGGTGGTTGAACCTAAAGCAAAGAAACACATAACAGTGCTTTGCTGTTTGATCCCTTTCTCTACCAACACGATCCAACAAGTGTCTTGCTTATACAAGCACTGTGTGTGTTTCAAAACAAGAGAACCAATCCCCAAAACGACTAGGTGTTCCTCGTATGTTCTTGAAGAAACCGCAAGGCGTTGTGTGTCTTCCACACAAAGCGAGCTCACATGTCCTGAGTTTCTTGAGCTCCATCAGTGGATCACACTCAGTGGATCACACTCAGTGAACCGAATGGACTGGCCATCTGTAAAAGTCTCAAAATGAAAAGCAATTTTCCCTGATCGACTGGACATGGTGGATCCGCTGCACCTTGGAGAAGGCTTTGTCCAGGAAGATCACTTGCCCCAGGAGGTCGAAACCACGCCTGGATGGATTCGAAAAGCCTCTGAAGTGCATGCTTGTTTGGGGGGGTTGCTGGTTGGTTGACGGGTGACGGATCTACATTGAGAGAAACACGGAACAACTATATAAATACCATTCCTCAATGCAATGGATGATGATCCAAGTTGTACAACCTTCCTTTACGGATCCCATATCACTTATAGTCTATGAACGTTGTTGTGTACAGCAATTGGCGGATTAGTCGGATGTATTGCATGTATCTGCAACACATGTCTGCGGCCCAGTCATTAAACAGAACCGGATATATAACCCACGTGACTAGTCACTTAGTCTTCACAAAGCGAACAATAAATAAAAGGGTTGTTTGCAGATCGTGTCAGGAAAGAGGGTGGCGTGTGTAAGTTGGTGCGAGTAAGTTGATATGAGTGGGTCCTGCTGTCCCGCTCACCAGCGACAGGGTGTATAAACAGGCTGTCCCGTTCCGCAACGGCATGGAACCAAGGGGGAACCAGTGCGGAACCGCAGCAACAGCCGACTCTCTACAAGGCAGCACAGTGCAGGGGAGGAGAGGCGGCGACCAAGGCGGCGCGTTGGTGTGTGTGTGTGTGTGCTGCAGGAGGCAGAGGAGGGCACGGAGAAGGAGCGGGATGACCCGAGAAAGATAGTAAGAACACCACACTAAGCATGTGGGTAAAGAGACAAGACTCCTATTTGGAAGGGAGAGCTGAGGACTTGTCTTGCACCTACATCATCGCTTGGAAAGCCCCCATCTCCGGTGGCTCATCCGGAACGTCGGATATCAATGAGCCATGCTGGTGCCTCGCCGTTATCGATACCATGGTGATCGCCTTGTTTTTCCGGGTCCCAGTGGTCGGTCTGTGGTTTGGGCGGTCGAGCACCTTCCAACCGATCGAAACCCCCCTTTTCGGTCTTTGCCCCCGATCCAAAACGCCGATTGGGGGGGAGACGGTGCATCATCCGAACCAGCCAACGGGAACATGCCAACCAAAGAAACAATGGTCCATCTTCTCCTTGTGAAGGTGCAAGTTTACCCTGACTACAATAGCCCCGGCAAAAGTCCAACCCTTTGGCAAAACTATCGCTAAATTGCCTCTATTCCAAGTGGATTGGGAACATAGCCCCCAAATGACCTGACCCAGCACCTGTGCGTTGCAGGGTAGTTGACGTTTTTTGTCATCTCATTATAGGTAGATCTTCTTGTCAACCCTCTCTGGAAGGAAAGCTTAGACGAGAACTCCGCTTGGTTTCTGGGCCCTGCTGAATAGCTCACTGCAGTTGTTTTGTTAAATGTTCCGACTTTCAAATGCTTGAAAAAATGAAGCTTCCCTCTTGTCTCTCCAACTAGCCATGTTCAACAAGCGCGGGATGTAGAGGTTTTTGTGTTTGTTTCCCTTATGTTCCACCAAGTTTTGGGTACTCAGCAGTGTGTTTACTTCCATGTGTTGTTGGAGCAAATCTCTAAAACGATATGCCCGAAGCCGGGTTCAGGTGGCCAGGAACTCACCGCTGCTCCAACCAAGCCACGCTTATCTCTTCATACTTCTCTTCATCGCCACACCCCCCGCAGGAAGCCCCAGCTGAGCTCCAGACCGACCAGCACGGCCACTCATCTGTCTGTACATGAGCCCTGTCAGCTCCTGTTTCGCAAAACTCCGCTTGGTTCCGCTCGAACGGGCAGTGAAGCTCGAAACGCGTTTCAGCCACCTGAGACTGGCTACATGTACATCTGGAAAGCTTTCGAGATCACACATGATCAGAAATGTCTCTGCGTGCACCATTTCCATGTGCAGAACTGATCAAATGGTATGGTCCACTATACCTTCGGGTTCAGCGCAGTTGTTCTCAGAGTTCAAAAAACGCAGTCATCCAGGGTGGGTGAGACAAAGATGTCAGCGCATGTTTGTGCAAGGTTCTGTGGTTGTCTGCTGGGGGGTGAAGGGTGGAGCTTGGGAAGATAGATAGATAGATAGATAGATAGATAGATTGTTGGATAGATAGATAGATAGATAGATAGATAGATAGATCGATCGATCGATAGATAGATAGATAGAATAGATAGATAAGATAGAACAGATAGATAAAATAGACAAGATAGATAAACATAGACAAGATATATAAAAGAGACAAGATAGATAAGATTGATAAGATAGAATAGATAGAATCGAATAGAATAGAATAGAATAGCATAGATAGGATAGGCTAGGCTATGATAGGCTAGGATAGGATAGGATAGAATAGGATAAGAAAGAAAGATAGGATAGGATAGGATAGGATAGGATAGGATAGGATAGGATAGATAGGATAGATAGGACAGATAGGATAGATAGGAAAGATAGGAAAGATAGGTAGATAGATAGATAGATAGTTTTTTATGTTTCGAGTTTCGGTCGCTCTCAAGTCGTCTTAAGACCGCCGGGCTCAGGAGCTTGTCTCCTGGCTGATCTAAACACGATCAGGCTCTGCCTGCACCGAGGTGCACTTCATGGCCTTTCGGCGTATCAAAGATCTCGTAGCTGTAAAAAAACTAACCTCCGTTACATCAAAAGCCGCTATGGCGGTGCAAGGAGAAGGGAGTCAACTCCATCCACAAGTCAGCATCCCCAAGGGTTCACATCCAGTGGGAGAACACCTCAGGGACTTGAGGTTAGCTGATGTTAGCTCTACTGAGTTCAAAGGAATTCAACAAACTATGCACCCAAAGGTGCAGTAGACAGGCTGGGTGCGTCCAGCCTTTCACGCATGCCCCCAACCTCAAGGGTCACGTCCTATGGGAAAACCCCTCGAGTGGGAGTGGAAGATAGATAGATAGATAGAGATAGATAGAGATAGAGATAGATAGAGATAGATAGATCGATAGATAGATAGAGATAGATAGAGATAGAACGAGATAGATAGAGATAGATAGAGATAGATAGAGATAGATAGATATAGATAGAGATAGATAGAGATAGATAGATAGAGATACATAGAGAGAGATAGAGATAGATAGATATAGATAGAGATAGATAGAGGTAGATAGAGATAGATAGAGATAGATAGAGATCGATAGAGATAGAGATAGATAGAGAGATAGATAGATAGATAGATAGATAGATAGATAGATAGAGATAGATACAGATAGATAGATAGATAGATAGATAGATAAATAGATAGATAGATAGATAGATAGATAGATAGATATAAATAGATAGATAAATAGATAGATAGAGATAGAGATAGAGATAGAGATAGAGATAGATAGATAAATAGATAGATAGATAGATAGAGATAGATAGATAGATAGATAGAGAGAGAGATAGAGAGATAGACAAATAAACAGATAGATAGACAGATAGACAAACAGATAGATAGAGAGATCGATAGATCGATAGATGAATAGATTAGATTGGATTAGATTAGATTGAGATTACGATTACAATTAATATTAGATAAGATAAGACAAAATAAGATAAGAATAGATAGGCAAATAGATGGATAGTTATATACTGTCGGATAGATTGATAGATGGCTAGATAGATAGCTAGATAGCTAGGTAGGTAGGTAGATAATAGATAGTCCTGTGTTGCAGCAACATCCCAAATAGGATCCTTTTCTTTAGAAACAAAGCTCGAATGGCCTCCAGGTCATGTTGAAACACCCTGGCATTCGGGTTCACAAGGGAATCCCCCTCCCCGTCCGCCACTAAAAAGCTGTAAGCGCCTCCTCTTTTTTCTGCAGGGGAGAGTCGGCGCTGGAATCTCAAGCAGTGAATCGCAATTGAACTTAATTAAGGCTGAATGTAGCACCAAACACGATCCAAAAACCCATCTGCAAGAGCACATTGTCAAGTTGCAGCAGAGTGACCCCTCCAAACCACAGCATCCTCTCTATCGGATGTCCGAAAACTGTTGTCAAGCGAGTGGGGGGCCACTTCCTGTAAAACCTCTGCTAAAACTATTGCGCAGGATCCGCCCAAAGTTCAAATGTTTGGAGTTGGAGGAATCGTTGGGATCTGCAAAGGCAGTGAGAGCAAAACGCGACAGCACATTGCAAACACCCAGTGGGACCGTTTTGGCATCACTCGCCCATGTCGATCAACGCTCTTCCAGCAATTTGGCCCTGGTCAAGCAAGCTATAAGCCTCTGCCGCCTGGCGTGTGATTTATCCAGTCCAGGGGGCGAGTCACAGATTCGTCTGCAGATGTTGCCAGCTACAGAGTTCTTAGAAGATTTAACTTTAACACACGTAGCTGAAACTAGAAACCCATCATACCTAGAAAGTACCTTCGATTTTACCTCGTGCAGTTGGCCAACATCTGGTTTTCACAAAAGGATAAACAAGGCTTAAACCAAGTACTTGGAGGGACTTCTCTGTATCTTTGCAGGGTCCGAGTATTACACCTACATTGATTTTTGCTTTGCCGTCTACAAACTTGGTACAGCCTGGACCTTAACCCAACAATCAGCAAAACCAGCAATGTCTATCCATGAATGTTTGTTGTTGGTTGATGGTCCAACTACGCGTCCCTTCCTTTCATAACTATGACTATATTTGTCAGTGGACACTCACTCAGCTGGGCATGCCCTGGTTTCGCTGTACCATCCATTGTTGGTTGCCACATTGCCAAGATTCGCACCATGTTGCACGCGGTTGGTTTTACACACACAGATCTTCGGGCATATCCTCATCAAACTCTGTGCCTCAACCAAACAACTGGCCCTGACCGGAGAAACAACAGACTCTGACGAATTGAACACAAGGTTCTGACATGGTTCCAAGGCCATGAACCCAAACTTGGATTTGTTTCAGGCACTCGGAAAAAACAAAAAACACATGTAACAACAACAACAACAAATATTCCCAAAAGTGAATTAATATAGGGACAAATAAACGCTAACAAACATACCACAATGTCTGTTCAAAAAAAACAGTAAAACGACAAAAAAAAACAACACACTGGCTGTTCTCGGCTCCTGGTCCATGGTGAAGCGCCGGGTCACGGCCGAGGGGAGATCCACCCCGCCCTGTGCGGCGATCGAAAGGAGCTCCGGCATGTCTTGGGAGGCACGAGCACCTGAGGAGACAGAAGGCGGAAGAAAAATACAGGCAAAAAAAAAGTGAGGAAAAACGATTTGGAGGAGTGAGAAAGGCCAATTGATTGGCACAAGGATATACAAGGAGGCTTTGTTGTTGTTGTTGTTGCATGTGTTGCTGTGCGCACGGAAAACAATGAACCCTGCTGAGTGTTTTCATACAAACAAATTGGACAAAACAAAAAGTACATTAATGTTTGGAAGATCACTCAGAAAATAGGACATGACCCGGTATATTCCGGTATAACAATGAGCTGTTGCGACTTGTAACATGTCTTTCCAAAGCCCAAAAGCACACAATTTTCGCCTTTACTTCTTTTGGTAGAAGTCCTTGTCCGTGGCCGCAATCTGTGGCTTCATCACCTTAAACCGATGCTTTTCCCTTTCAGACCCGTCTTTTCCCAAGGAACCATAGGAGCCCACCAGGCTGATCCTTCGTCGCACCAGATGTGTGATGGGCACCTCCGCCTTGGTCGTGGCCGCGGCGATGCCCACGTAGCAGGCACGGCCGCCGTCGCGCACCGACAGGAGCGCCTGGGCGTCGAGTCGAAGGGGTGGTGGTTGATCAAGTAGTCGTGAACGAATCCAGGAGGGCAGGGTGGAGAGATGAAATAGCCACTTGGTTGTTGGCTTTGGGATGTGAAGACAGGTGGAAGGGAAATTGGAGTTCAAACATGTTTCACAACAATGCCGGTTCACTATAGACCCTGAATGGCAACAGTCTGATTCCCTGATTCTGAAAAATAAACAACTACTGAAGGGGTGCACTTAGATGATGAGGCAACTCTAGAAACATCAAACCTCCGTTCCGCCTTGGCCGGATTTGTTCAAGACCATCCACACTGATTGACTAGGTGTTCTTGTCTAAAACATATTATGTTCAAAACCTCATATATAGAAAATCCTTAGTGAAAAGGGATGGAGGTGTACAAGAACCTGTCAGTGATTTCACGGACAACCGGGCCCAGGCCCCCACGGCTGGAGGTCTCTGGAGCAAAATGGTGTCCGCTACATGAAAATGGTTTCCAATTAAGCAAGCAGGTGATGCTTGCAGCGTTGTCCAACAACTGAGAATCCGAATGCTTTACGTCAAGTGATCCAAGTGATCCCCACAATGGCATCGGACGCCGCACCCCAGCGCTGAGAGTGTGGGTCCGATATCTTCTGTCATCATTTCCGGCATTCTACGTGGCATACCTTCTGACATTCTTTCCAACATATATGTTGACTTACATTCTGGCATAAACGGTGACACTTTACCTGGCATCTATTCTGACGTCATGAGAGTTCTATTTGGCATCTATTGCAACGTTCTATTGGAAGTGTGTTGTGACATTATATTTGGCATCAGTTGTGGCATTCTATCTGAAATATGCTCTGGCATAAATTATTGCCACGCGGTCTGGCATAAATTCTGGCATTCTTTCTGACATCAGCACACCTGGTTCGGATCCGGTGGTGCCCACTACTGCGATCTGGCACTCGCGGTTCAGTCGGTTGAGGTCCGGTCATGCCCACTCAGCTCTGGAGCTGGAAGGAGGAGGCAAAGGAGGAGGAGGAGGAGGAGGAGGCGGAAGCAAGTTTGATAGAGTCCAACAGCCCTCTGGCAGGTGGGAAAATACATCTCAAAATATCTTTTACTACTTGCCCATCCTCTATGTCTTCCCATCTCTGTTCTCAGTTTCGCTCATGTTCCCTCCTTCCCGACTTGACTCTTCTCCCAAACCTGCAGCATCGTCGCCTGTTCAAAGGTCGCTTTGGATCCGATCACCTCCAAACACACATCCGCCTTGTGGCCCTCGGTCACTGCCGCGATGCGCTCCAGCACATCCTCCTCAAGGCCGCCGCGATGCGCGCGGCCGCGACGCGCAAAGCACGAGGCGCATGATAAGAACGTCACCAGCGGGAACTGGATGGTCCACTCGATGCACTTAGTGCTTCCGGAGTGACAAGCTTTTGAAACGGCGAGCACATGGAACGAAAGAACCTCTTTTCAACAGCAGTTCCGAGACGGGCATGTAACATCATGTATACGTAATAATAGACTCGTAATATAAGGGGGTGATCAACTTCTACAATTTGTTGTGTTTGTCAGGAGAGCCGCAATAATGGTCACCTCTGGATTTTTTTGCATTTGCTGTCATTGTTTTCAGTTTGCTTTCATGTTGCTTTCATTGCTTTCATATTTATGTAATCTGTTTTCATACTGCTTTCATTTAGTTTCATTATGCTTTCATTTTCCATTCATTCTGCTTTCATTTTACTTTCATGAATTTGCTTTCATTCTGCTTCATTTGCACTCATCTTGCTTTCATTCTGCTTCCATGATGTTCTGGACATCTTACACATGACCTCCCTATAAAGGGAATTAAACATGGAACCATTCATGGCGTTCCTTGCGGGTTTCACGTCGTCACGACGTGGAGATGGCGATCCGTCGAACTCCTTGCGGGCATTGATGCAATGATCTGCCCCCAAGGTGGCCGCCATGTCCAATGCCTTGTCACTGATATCCACCTTAGGCCCAAAGCGTCAAAAACCACGGGACAAGTGAACAAACATGTGACATGTGGAGAATAAAAGACCACAAAAAAAAGGTCTGTGCACAAAGAAAGGGAGAGCAAAGAAGAAGTTCCTACATGTAGATGGTTGCAGAATATTATCTGAGACTTCGATGTTAAACATAATCGAGTTGCTTGTCAAATCTTCTGTAGAGCTGGACCCACTGGATATGCTGCCCAGGCCATCAACATGGAACTGGTCTTCCTACCTCTCCTGCAACATGAGGGGGTGCCCTAGTCAACAAACATGAACAATGTAACAAAACACCCTGAGTGACGCAAACTGTCTGACCACCATACTAATTACTGGTCATCAACATCAAATGAAAGCACATGGACCCGTTAAAACCCCTTCAAGTTCATTTTCCTCTACACATCTCTACACATCCCATGACCATGTGAACGAGCAATACCAGCCGGTTGGTCTCTGTCGCACTGTAACGATCTTTTCTTCGTCTTCGAGGGGCTGCAATGATCGGTCCAGCACCCAAGTGCTTAGCCAGTTGAATGATGCCTTGCCTTGGCCGTTTGGGGAGAAAACAGAGATGTGTGGAGGCATGCCTTCAGGCCCTGAAGGCTCACAACTGGGGAGGAAGTTGGGAACACTTGACCTTGAGGCTTCGAACCAAGCAGCTAAACAGCGTTTTGGGGTATCCTTGCGGGAGGAAAGTGGAGTCTGGAAGCAAAGAGTGCAACTGGGAATCCTTGTGCCAACAAGACAAGAATCCACAAGAACACACAAGACCAATACATACATCATAATCGAAAATGCTACAATGCCTGCTTAAGTTCTGAGCATCTGACAAGCTTGCGCGTATCAAAACAGGGATTACGAAAGAAGCGATCATGCCATGCTAACCTCCTACATCAGTAGGCTAGGGCTGGGTTGAGAATGGTCCAAAGAAATCCAAAGAATGGAAAATTCCCTCTTCCATTCCCTGCCACACCTGGCCTCCCCCTTCCCCTGCCCAGACACCCAACTCCTCCAGCGCCGATGATCACTGTCGATTGCCCCGCGCGCAGCTCTGCAGCGTTGCGGATGGCGCCCATGGCAGTGAAGAAGGCACAGCCCAAGAGCGACGCCTTCGCACCAGACGTGGCGGAGACCGTGTGCGGAGACGGTGAGAAGCAGGACGGGACGATGGTCGGGCAGCTGAAGGCGAGAGTGAAGGCTGAAACTGGGTGGATGGTGGATGGAAAGCCGATGAGCGGACAAGTGTTTGAAAGGTCCGGACACTCTCTTCTCAGTCTCACTTTCATGTCTAAAACTTGTTCCCGTAGCCATAGAGGACTGCCGAACATTTCTTTTTCATGTATGTCTACATCTCAGACAGCTCCAAAAGCTTGGATCGAAATGCATGCCCCATTGATGCTTCGGGGCAAACGCTCAACTTTGCTGAGGGTGATTTAATTTTAGAGCCACAATTTGTCGCATTGCCTCCAGGAACTGCAGGGTCGGTGCCTAGTTTAGACACAACAGCCTGGCCAGAAAGGTGAAACATAAGCAGATGAACGGTAAAAGGACAAATCACATCACATTCATGAGGACAACATATCCGCTAATATATCCGCAACGTGGCTAAGCATCTGAAGAGATCTGATCTTTTCGTTCAACGGGCTCATGCCGCATCCAACAAGAGGCTTTTCGTTCGGTTCGTGGGATCCACGGGCCTTCCAGGTCCTTCCAGGTCCTTCGGGTCCGAAGCGCGTTTCTTCGCCTCCGGAAAGTGCTTCTCGGCCAAAGTGCTGGGCAATTCGAAGACGGCGGTCTGGGGGACCACGGCATACCTGGTAGAGCACGGAATATTTCGAGAGTGAGACGCTTTTTACGCCCAAAAACCATCTTGGGGCATACTGGGATGTTTCTAGGATGCACCAGACACAATTACTATATCGGACTATATACTGTAATATTAGGATTATATTTACATAACTGTAAATTCCTACGTTAAAGTTAAAGGTTCAAAAAACACGAGCCGAAACAAGGTTCAGTGTCCATTGGCTTCTTCGTTTGTAGACTTTTTGTTCGACATGGTCATGGTCGGGTGACCTTCCGTGTGCAAACCTTTTTTTTTCAGAGTGCCCTCCTCTTTTGCAGTGCCAAGCTGGTTGAAGATCAAACAAATGCGAAAAATCATGCAAGCGTACTCAGCCATTCCTCAGCCTTTCATCCAACGACCTCAAGAGACCTGGATTCTGGATGATTTGGGTACACGTCGGGTGCTCTTCGGGCGGCACACCCCAGGACTGCAAGTGGAGCTGGTGCCCTGTTTGTGCAGGAAGATCCACACGAAGGGACCATCCTATGTGGATTCTGAAGATGTCTGATGGCCAGGTACGCTGAAGATGTCTAGGCCAAAAAGAACATCACCTTCGGCTTTGGGATCTCAACTCATCTTGACTCTCAACACTTTGTGGGATCTGGATGAAACATGAAGCACGTCCGCACGTCCCTCCAAAAACATGCGGTCCTTGACATACAGGGACTCGGGAAGACTGTGCACATGAAGTACGGTCGATTCATGACCGTCCCAATGAGCGTTTGTTTTTTGTCCAAAGGCCGATTCCCTATGTCCTCAGCTTTTCAGGGACCGCAGGACTTGAGGCTCAGATTTAGGGCAGCTGAATGTGCTCCCAGGTGCTCCGCCAGCCCGGCGAAGGAGTACATGGCGATCGGCTGACCATCTGTTGAATAAAGCCGGGTGCTGCCATCATAGAGCTGACCCTTCAAACCTCATGGCTAGAGTCCAAACTGACTGGCTGGGGTCCCCCAAAAAGACGTAGCGAGGGCAGGACAACTCGGGTCATCCATGTCATGCATCGCCTCGCTGGGCGGTGCACCTTGGTGCCGAAGCTCTCCGGAAAGCAACAGCCCACTCCTAGACCCTGAAAAACTCATATAGAATCTCTACATGACCGGTGCGAAAGAACATCAGCTTTCTTTGATTTCTTCGCTCCACTTGGGTTGGTGGACTTGTAAGAGCTCTGAAGGCCAAGCATGGACATGCAGGATACACTGATATACACACACCAGAACTTCACATCAGCATACCGATGTATACCAGCACCCTCTGACAGGTCACCTCGGATTTTGGATCACAAGTGGTGACTCACCTGTTGGATTGGAGGATGCAAGTCGACCAACAAAAATGTCCTTCAGCGACGACTCGGTGATGCACGGCTGAGAAGCGGTTCAACGCAAAGAATGGGGCACAGGTATCCTCCTCGCCTCTTTCACAGTGAAAGCAGGACCCGCAGGGCATGATGAAAGTGCAAGCCACTTTACCTCCCAAAGGTAAGCGTGATATATCCTTGCTGCGTGTGGTTAAAATCAAAAAAACAACTTTGTTTGGTAGACGGTCGCTAGAGGCAGGAATGCTTTCCCAAATACTTGAGTCTATAACTTATGAGTTGTATATTATATAATATATATATATATTGTTGACATTCCTTTTTCTGCGCTGGAATTCCCGATCCGAAACCGCTTGGGCTACAAGAAAGCCCTCGGAAGATTGGATTTCTGAATCTTCTCCATTCTTCTCTCTGGGGTCTCGCGAAAGATGTGCGATGGTCAAAATCAGAAAATGTCTTCTGTATCCACACACAAGTCTCCACACCGTCACCGTGTGCCACCACGGTTCCACTAATCTCATGTCCAAAGACCGCCGGGGACGGAAACGGCAAATCCTTCTTGATGCAATGAAGATCCGTGTGGCAAACGCCGCATGCACGTACTTTCACCAAGACTTCTCCCTTCTTCGGGCTAGGCTTTTGAATCCTCACTTGATGAATGGCCTGGCAACACCTGGCTCCCCAACAAACAAAACAACACGGCTTTCTTCATCATTCTTCCAATAGACTTATAAGATATGTTCCTCATATTATGTGTAGATGGTCTTTCCCCAAAAGAACCAACAATTGAATCTGCGCCGCGGCGTCATTTCCACCTTCATCTTGGACGGATCTGGATCACCGCGCCACAGCACCGCTCGCATCGTGGAGAATGCCTTCCCATCCGCTCGCAGCGGCGGACACCGCACACGGGCGAGCCGCTGCCACATGGTGGCCTTCAACCAACGGGAGGGTTCAGGTCGGTCAGGGCGGTCTGTTCCGGCGGGTCGATTTGGGAGTGAGAAGATTTCGACTGCAAGCCTGTGGAGGAGACGTAATTAGCCCAATCAAAGTCGATCTGCCCTGTCTATCTGTGGTCGAAGTGAATCAAATCCAAAGTTGATCTGATCTGTCATGCGGAGATGAAAGCTGGCCTGGCTGGAAGGCACTTGAGCCATTTGTTTGGTCGGTTTAGCGCACTCAAAGACCTGAATCGTACCAAACCCTGCCAACGGTCCAATTTGGGAGCAAAGTCGTAATTCTGCAGAAACTCACCTGCAGGGGAATGTTGAGAGATACACAAACAGAAGCAGAGCTGTGCAAAAGGTGGCCAACTCTCTTTTTTGTTGTTTGGTGATTAAGATTTGTTTATAACCAAAATGATCCAAAATGTCTCCTCACTCACACAAAAGGCATAGAAACTGGAGGGATCAAGCTCAGGATCAAGCACTGGTAAAGGCAAGGAAAATAATCTAAACTGCTGACATCTTCAGTTGAGTTGGGGGAATCATCGCCCTTGGGAAGTTGAAATTGCCGCCGATGCCTATCTTCCAGTCCCATGGAGTGTCAAAACAAGACAAAGTAAGACGACTTTCGATGATGTGGGAAAACTGGTGGGTTTTTATTCTGACCCCCGAGCTGTTTCCCTGAAAACATACAAATGAAACGAACTTCCACCTCTATCTCTTAGTGGAGTGTCCCCAAATGTCCCAAACTCTGCAGATACCTGTAGGTGATCCAATTATCCTACCCTAAGAACCCTTGGGCCCTCCATGACAAGGGGTCGGACCCGACCTCTTCGCAGGGTCCAAACCCTCAAAATCTTTCCCGTTGGTTCGGGCCCAAATTCTTAGAGTAGGTAATGCAAACTCTTGATGAATAAACCCCACATATGAAGAGGATGCTCGGGGGGGTGGTTATTAAATTGAACATATTCGTTATTAATCTGTTTTATTATATACGTACATTGCTATTAGGTTGGAGGCCATTGCTAGTAGGTTGGAGGCCATCGCTGTTAGGTTGGAGGCCATCGCCATAAGGTTGGAGGCCATCGCTATTAGGTTGGAGGCCATCGCAATTAGGTTGGAGGCCATTGCTATTAGGCGACCTGATTTCCCAAGTGGCTTGATTCAGGTCGGCTCTACACCGCTCCGCCCACCGTCGCGAACCGAACATCCGAAAACAGTCCAGGGAGTCGCCACAGAAAATGGTCGAGCGGCACCTGCGGCAGGGGTCGGTGGCCGGGATGTTCCATGGGTCCAGTGTTTGGACCATGGAAACTGACTGCAAACAGAAACATGGCGTTTGCCCTGGAGTTGCAGCGGACAAAGCACTACACAGCAGTCACAAATTATAGGTGTTCAGCTGTTCCAGGATTGAACAAACACAAAACACACCAGTTTTGCATCTTCTTTCCTAGGGTTCCATCGGGCAAAACGCTTTCGGCTCTGCATCTCGATTGGATTCCCTGAGGTCCCAAGCGTTCGCGTTCCCTTCAAACAAACACTCCGTCACATATGTCTACGATCCATCGAGTACTATGGACTTCTGTCAAGTACCTTGGACCACACGGTACCATGGTAATTACACTCCCAGAAAAAGATCATGGAAGTGGACAACCACCGGTTTGTAGAGGAACATGGTCATTCAAGAGGCCATGCCATCCACTTCCATCATGATTTCAGGGAGTGTACAGTGTACCTGCTTTATGGTGATGTCCCATGTCTTCCCATTATATACAGGCTATGAGTTGTCCAGTTGCATCGTCATGCCCTCACCGATTGGCCGGGACGCTTTTCACTGGGTGTCCGCACGGCATGTTGATACCGAGAGCTAAAGTGCCGGTGGCAAAGACCACTCTCAAGTACCTGCAGAAAAGCAGCCTTCCAGCAAACCAAGCTCAGGCAACAGTTGGATCTTTGCAATGGATCAGGATCAGGTACTGATCAAGTGCTGATCAGGTATCTCGAATGGGTTTCTTGGGATGCCCACCTAAGAGCATCTTCATGGCGTGTTAGTCTCCTCAAAGCTCTGAATCTCGATGCCCGGCTTCAGTATCGTAAGCCAAGGGCACGGTATACCTAAACCAACACATCCGGTGCATGTACATGGATCATCAGGGATCCAGGTTCCCAAAATGGAAACATCTGGGTCTATCGGTCTATCGCTAGGCTCGACTGCAAGAGCTGCCAGTCCGTTGCTCGATGCTTGCGAAAAGAATGAACAGAGTGAGTGTGTGTTTTCTCCAGCCAGTGTCTGAAGCATACTTGAAGGTGATGAGAGAATTTCAACAGGTTGACAACTCATCCACTGCTAGGAACGGTCCAGGACCATGACTTGGGAAATAATCAGGAACTCAGGGAGGGCATCATCCGAAGCCATCCGGATCGACGAAAAAAACACCTACAGAAAACCGCTAAAGTCGGCCTACGAATGTATTTCCCCCATGGAGTTTCAGCAAACAAGCAGTCAAAGTCAATACATTCTTGTCTGATGATATGCCATATGTGCCATTGAAATTGATGCACATGCCTGAGGCTCGGTGGATAGGTCGAAGATAAAACCACCAAAATACAAGTGGGGACCGTCCGAAGACAAGCTGTGGTTCTATAGTGGGCTTGCGATGAGCATAGACAATAACTATAACACGTGATCATGAATTATCACATCAGTAACGATTCCCATAATTATAATTATTGTTGTTGCAATATGTTGCGATGCATCCATTTTCAGAGGGCGAACGGACAACTCCAGGTCTTTTAGATAGGAAAGCGAAGAGCAACATCCCATATGTTTGGCCTTCAGTATCGCATCCCATGGATTGAGTGGTAACTGCTCCGTAAATATAAAAACAACTCAAAAGACTCAAAAGAGTGCGGACCCCCCAACTGTCTGCCACCCTGGTTGCTGTATACTGGCAAGTGGGAAAGAATATGAGCAAAACCAACCGTTATAGCTCTCAACTTCAATAAAAGGGAAAACACGTGATCCCTGTGCCAAGCAGGGCACCCTCTGCGAAAAAGGATCTCCACAGCTTCCTTGTATGGTCTCCTTGGAACCCAAAAGCAAAGGCATCACAAGCTGCTGGACTCTAGAAAGGACCAAATGCCGTCCTCCAGAAGCGTGACCCTGGCCCATCTGTAGATCCTTTATGCTCGTTTTAATGCTCAATGATGTCCCTCTTTTTGGAGTAAGACCCCCGATAGTCGGGGGTGTCAAATCCAACAACACTTTTTTGGGGAGGTGTGTTCATTTGGACTGTGCGGGTCTTGGTCGGACAGCCAAAAAGGGATGGCGAAGTGAAGGCAAACTAGCACGGCATAGCAAGAACCACCCTTATCCCTTGGCAAAGTAAGGTGCCTTTTTGGATTGCGGGGAACTGCCAAACTGGCAGATGTTTTCCATGAACCTTGTTGCAAATTCTATCGTCCCTTCATGTACTCCAGGGATCTCCAGGGAACGTACACGGTCCGGTCATTTGAACTGAAGCATGACAGGATCCATGTATTTATATAATATTATATATATATATAACTTTCTCACGTTGTTCAATCGTGACTTATCATGATTTGCTAGGAGATGAAGCCCCGCAACAGTTGAAGGTTCACCCTGAAACCACTAAGCGCAAAGTTGTTACAAGTTTTTAGAGGCCAAACAGGTGAACATCCTCAACACCTCCACCTTTCATGTCAATGAACTCCTGCCTCCCACGGAATGTTTCGCTTCGCGCGTGGCCCCCTGAGAGGCCAACTTGAGACCCTCATGGTGCATCCCAATGCCTCTCCTTCACGCGCGGATGGACCGCTAATCCCGGAGGCGATCGATGGATCACGGCCGCGGAAAGCGTGCGCTCGAGCGAAAGCGTACGCCGCGCCAAATGGCCCAAACACACAGGTCAACAGGCGTGGCTTGGGTCAACAGGAACGCACATGGTCACGAACAATACATAGCAGATCATAGCAGTACGACCTTTTTTGGGTAATTAAGATTAAGAGGGCCCAGTGGATGATGATCGTATATGATTGTTAGGTTGTGAAGGCCAAGATCTCGAAAATTGTGACAATCTTTTGCTGACTGTTACTGGCTATGGGCCCCACACCCTAACCTCAGTGAAGAAAATGTCTGTGTTTCAAATCCTTGAGGAACTCTCGAATCAAGCGATCCAAGTGTTGATCCGCAGTGCCTTGCCGGTGCCTCGGTCTTTTGGGAAACCTCTGAACGTTGTCCTAGGTCTAATCGGTCTGATTGTATCATATGCTGCTGATGGGTGGGACCTGCTGCACCCCAAAGATCCACACAAATAGTGGAAGACACCGGACACTTCGGCGTTCTAGTGGCATCGTTTGCCTTAAAAGCAAGTCTCAATCAAATAAAGAACTACAATAAGCTTTGGGACGTAGGGTACCAATGCAACGGAGAATTGAGGTCACCCACTTTGTTTCACCCTTGAATCTTTTTGGGAATCAGTCCGATTCAAAGGTTCAAGTAATAACTTCTGAAGGCTTGTATCCCAGTGCTGTGTCTTTCCATCAGGCGATGGCCGTCGCTGCAGGGGATCCGAAACGGTCCGATGGGGACCCGGTCGGGTGGGATGTTTGGTCCCCACCAGAAACGCTGAAGACCAAGGACCTACTGTCCAGGAACCGGGAACCAATGACTGTCGACTGTCGTGGTTCCCAGCAGTTTGGGGCTTTTCCACCCCGGAAAACCGGGTGACTAACCCCACCTCACCCCGTCACCGGGTGATTCAGCATGATTCAGCCGGTGAACGGGAGAACCCACATGGCCCGGTATCAGCGCCCAAACCCCGTGAACCAACCGTTTGGACGGACCTGACCAAGTTGCGGCCGATCCGCAGAGAAAGCACGCACGACCGTTGATGGCGAGGGCGGCGTCCTGAGTCCTTCCTTCATCCAGGGCTCTTTGGTTGATTTGTTGATGAGCTCATCAATGTCCTTGAGGGGGTGAAGTCCGGGCAAAGGAATAACACATATGAGTGATG